TAGGGATCAGAACTGTATAATATCTTCACATGCACAGAGAACGTAAGGCGATATTAACAATGTTCTTTTAAAATACTTTCTATGATCTGTAAGAAAGTTAGTGATTAGTCTCTCTTCAACACAAAGAATAAGTCAACACCCAAAGATGGGAGGAAACGGTTTGGTGGATATAGATATTCAGAGGAAAGTATAAGATGCCATTTCTTCCCTCTATTACACCCAGGACCATCAGTCAGAACAATGGGATCTTCATTGCAGTGGAACTCTGAAGGAGAATTATACATATAGTCAAAATGTATGTACAGAAAAAGATTCAAATCTAGAATAAGATTATTCAGGTACTATAGCATGAAGCATTCTTTTGCCAGAAGGGAGATCAAAAACTTCACATTCAGCTTATAATGCCTCGAAAACACAAGTGTACGTCTTTTTTGCCCATGTTGTAGATGTGACCATTGCAGAGGGGTCTTAAATCAACCAAAATAAGTTTTCTGTGCCTCAAATATGTAAAAGTTTAGCCATTCACTTACTGGTGATTCAATAGTTTTCTTCTCTTTCACTGCCAGAAAGAAGAGGACAAGAGAAGAGTCTGGCATTTTGAAGAACTTGGACCTTTCAGTGTATATTATTTTGACCATATGATGAGCAGCCAGATCACCAATTGTTTACTTTTTGTGAATTGTGTATATACATGAGGAAGAAATGTCTCCTGTGGTTAATAAAAGAACCTACTCAGATGGAGTCCCAAACACAGTTTTGTCTGCGCAGAAGACGCAATGCTGTAATTCCACTGACAGGCCCCTACTTCTGAAGATCTTCTAGAGTAAATAATCGCAGCCAGGAAGAGTACCTTGAGTGTTAGAGAGACCAAACTCCAAGATGCAACTGAAGGCTTTTAGGCCTGTAGAATAATAATTTTTATTTATGAAGTACCTTTCTTGAGAGACTCTCCAAGGATTTTACACAACTGGGAAAACTAAAGCATAGAAAATTGCTTCATGGAGTTCATGGAGCAAATAAGCAACCGTGGAGCATGGAATCTAGGTCTCCTCACAATCTCCTGCTTTAACCACTAATTTTACCTTGCCTCCCTTAAAAGGGCCAGATCAAGTTTTCAACCGGTTGGACTCCCTGAATCTTTTATGCTGTAGCTTTTAATGATCTTTAAAATGCATGAACAAAACCGAAAAAGGAGCAGGTTTATTAACTAAGACACTGGCACATACAAGGCCTTCAACAATTCCATTATTGAATTAGACACCAAAAGAAAGGTCATCTTGAAGACCAGTATTGAGAAAGCCTAGCAGCTATAGCTTTATTTTTTGGAAATGTATTATCAGATACACTTTAGACAAATCTGAGTATACGATATCTGTAGAGTGATTTCTGAACAAAAGGAGATGTGAAATGACTGAGAAAGAATTTTTTCCCCCCTAATAGTTTCCTTGCAGCATCTAGGATACTAAAAAAGTTTGTCTAAATTCTTAAGCATTTCTTAGCACGTCCTTCCATCCAGGGAAGGGAAGGAATCGAATCTACTGAGTTATCAAGTGCAAGAACTAGGGTCTCATCTGTGAGCATGGCGTACTATTAAAGATCTTTCACAATCTTTCATGAAATTCTGGAAGAGAGAGACTGCATAGAGAAGTTCCTGTACTCAGGACTAAGACAAGGCAACAAGAACCATGGTATCTTCTGCCTCCATCTACTAAAAAGTCACGTGATTTTGTTTGAAAGGTCTAGAGTGAGGTCACCACATTTTTCTATCCATAGCTCTGTTTCTGAAGCTACAACAAGATCGAAAAGCAGTTGCTGCTCAAGGAAGGAACAAGCTGGCCATGGAATAGCAAAGCCCTGTGTGAATAAGCCACCCGCCTAAGCAAGGTAAGTTACACTGACCTAAGCAACGGTGTGGACACTGATATACTGGTGGGGAAACTTCTCCCACCAGCAGAGCTATTGCCTCCCATGGAGGCCGTCTTATTATGCCAGCAGGAGAGCTCTCTCCCGTCAGCCTAGAGCATTTTCACCAGACATGTTACAGTGGCACAGCCCTAAAAAAGCGTTGTTGTTTTTTTTGTTTGTTTTTTTTTAATACTATCATGTGTGCTAAATCCTGATATTTAAACAGTCATTTAATGTACTAAAAACATACCTTTTATTCCAGGTGCAGACATGGCCATAATGGACAGGAATTAAATGGCAAAGCTGTAGGGAAGGTGTCACACTCCAGCCCACACTATGCATAGCTCTAACCAGTACTGATTTTAAAACCTGAAGCAGTTCAAAACTACTCATTAGAACAATTTTTAAATGGTTTAACTACTCAATGTAGACATCCAAAAAGCATTAAAATAGTTGAATAATATTCATTACTAGGTAGTCCCATGATTTGTAAAACATTTTGGACCCATTCAGTTTCATGAGTTAAATCATGTTACCTTTTAAAATTTAAAGTGCCTTAGAACCCTGTTTAAAACTGCATCACGTAAAAATTTTAATAGAAGCAACATTGAGGCCCTCTCATGAAAAGGAATTTCCCATATAAATTGGTGGAGAAATGCCTAAAAACCTACTCATCATACCTCGTATTGGATTTAACTTGAGATTAGACCGATTTGATTCTTTAAATATGAGCTACAGCAGTCATTACAACTCCAGAGTTAGAAATATGCAACGAGTAACAAAACACTAGAAGGATTTCATAACCTAAAAATTTACTATTTACTAGTCAGAGGCCAATACAAAAAACAAGGGGAAATCCCACTAATTAGATTCAGGACAATGGGGGTGGGGAGACTTCTCATTTAGCTGAAAGACACCCTACCTCAATCTAAATGGTACCAGAGTGTGTGGAGGCAGAAAGATGGGTCTGTTTCTCAATACAGTTCCTTAGACTCCATTTTCGGGTCCTATTCCCCTGTGAGTAGCTCTGGGCCATGTTGCTGTTCAGAGTATTCATTAAATCATCAACAGTGAAAGCTATTCTTGTCAATTTCATTGCCCTCTGCAAGGTTCTGGCTAATAGCAGCGAAAACTAATAAAAGTCAATTTCCCTCTCTTTTAGAAGGCTATTAGCAGCAAAGTCATGCCTATACACTCAGGAAGACAAACATTGTTTTATATTTGGAATGCTTCCCCTCTCTAACAAATAAACAAAAACAAGAAGTGAAGGTTTAAATTCTGCAGAAACTGATGGTTTATCCTCCATTCCAAGTCAGACAACATTTAAGTGCCTTTAGCAAGTGTATTTTTCAAACATTAGCCAAAGATTTACCAGTTATATGTTTCAGATAAGAACCACATTTTGAAATATTTTTCTCCGTTTCACTAGTTTGGTACAACTGTTTCAACATTTCCATTAAAATATCAGAAGAGTAAAACAAAACATTTGTGTTTACACTGCTGCTCAAGCTAAACTTGCTTGTCCTCCAAGAATGCTTACTCTTGCCTACTAAAAAGCAAGCACACTCATAAGATACTATTACACTGATATTAGGCAATTAATTCCCTTCTTCATTTAACCACTTTTACAGGTCACCCTCACTATCATCCTCCTTCATTGTAACACTTATAATACTTAAGTGGGGATGCCATGTATGGCTATTTATTTACAGGAAACAAATAGCAACTTAATTGTAAGAGATATCTTCAATAGATATATGTAAATAGTATTTATTTAGTTAAGAATAGTTTTAATAAAATATCAAGATTATTCTTATAATATGATGCTACCATGAACAATGCACTATTCATCAATTATAATAAAATACATCACGTTTGTATGTTTTTACACGTCTAATCTCAGTTTATATCTAAAATTCTCTCCTCTCTGAATCTCTCATATAACAATTAACTTTTTGTAAATATAAAACTTAAATCATCGAAAAGAGAGCTTAAAAGGACTGAAAAATCCATTAATATTGTATTTCATTTTTAGTTGAAGGAGGTGGAGTTATCATCATGTTACTCTAACTCCCAGAATACTACAAGCAGTAGCAAGGAGTACCAAAAGTAGCAACAACAACAACAAAAAAAGATGAGATTTACCGGCAGTGTATAAAGGGATTAACTTATTTTTTCTAGAAAGATGTATTTGAAGCTTCTAGAAATGTCAAAGCTTCAGTAGATTTCAGGATAATAGCAAATTCTATTGACTACATTCCCCTATTAAGTGATGTTCAGGAAATTCCAACGTTTTTTGGAAAGACATTTAGGCCCCTTCTCAACCAAATAAATGCAACTAAATTTTTATTTAGTTAGTTAAATGTATGCGCTGTTAAACATAGAAGAACACAGTTATTGTTGATTTATACTACAAATTCCATATGCTAATTTGAGTAACTTGTTCATTTCAGTGTTGATGATATAACTGTTAGAAGATCAAATGGTGCTGCTAAAACAATCTTTTGGTGGCTAAAAAGCCAACGGCAAACAATTACAGCGTTAGAAAGCAGCTCCCCAAAAGAAAATCCACAAACTTTTAACACATCCTAGCCCAGGCCTCTATTCTGATTTGTGATTAACTGCTGTAAAAATGCCAAAGCAACAGAGACTTCACAGACACATATACCAACCCAAGATACTGGAAACTGAGGAGCCATACATCACAGCACTGGAACATCCTCAAATGATTTGTGCACACCTTTGCGCACACAAAGAGAGAACCCAACAACAGCAACCAAGGCTTTTCATAGAACATCAGGGTTGGAAGGCACCTCAGGAAGTCATCTTGTCCAACCCCCTGCTCAAAGCAGGACCAATCCCCAATTTTTGCCCCAGATCCCCAAATGGCCCCCTCACAACCCTGGGTTTAGCAGGCCAATGCTCAAATCACTGAACTATCCCTCCCCCCTTTTCCCTCTCCTTCAAATGCAAACGCATACCTGGTTTCCAGAGTGCTTCCTCACACTAGCTCCAGCAAAGCAGAAGAATAAGCCAGGACTGGACTCCAATCAGCAGCACAGTGATTTTCTTTTTATAACAGAATGAAAGGATACAGCCTTAAAGCTCCAGTTTGAGTCCCAATTGCCAGTATCTTCTGAACAGGATCAAATGCCAAGGCCGACGGCTGATAGGGGAAACCATGGCGTACGGTCTAACAAGTCAGAGCAGTGAAGTAACGGTGGGTCAAGCAGCAGACCAAAAATAAATAAAATCAAGAGTGTATTAGGAGGCGGGATTCAGTTTTAACTGCACTTCAGTAAGGAAACAAGCATTTAGGAAAAAATATTTGATGCAAAACAGCACTTTAGCCTGAATTCATTACAGAAAATTTCTGGTAAAGAATCTATTCGCTTATCCTTGAACATGAAATAAAAGATGGTTACTGAAACCTGGATTTGATTTTTACCTCTTTTCTTTAAAAAAAAAAAAAAAAAAAAAAAGCCACCAACTACTTCCATTTCATTTTGACCCTTCCCCTATTCTCTGGCTTCTTGTTTATAGTGGTATACAAAAGTCATTTGACAATTAAAATATGAAACGTTTCCTGGGAAGCTTGACAACGCAGACAGCACTGTAAATTGAACTATTACAAATCATTAGAACTGCTCTTCGGAGAGCCATCCCCATTTCTCTCAAGCAGGACACAGTGCATTCTCTCTCCAGGATAGTGTTTTAAAAGAAATCACACATCCCCCACAAAACCAATACTTAATATTAAGCTATTGGAATGGCTACCCTTTTTGACTAGCCAGGATTTTAATTACTGCTTGTGCAGTTATCAAATTAACTGTACTGTAGGACAATAATAATTGATTCAAATTAATGAATTGTGCTGTTTTACTACATGACTCACTTTCACACAAAAATATTAATATAATGATCTAACCTTGATCACAGCTATGCAAATGAAAAAAAAAAGACATACAAATGCTAGCTTTTCTATTTTAAAGAAATCTTATATTAAAATTACAAATATAAATATACAGATGCCAGTGTGGTGATTTAGGACTTCAGAAATGCACGCTCACACAGGTTTTACTTTAATGAGGTTAAATAGGTTATGTTAAACAGCCATGCCTCTCAACTTTCAATAATTTTGCAAGTGATAAGGTATTACAATGCAACTGTAAACAAGGCCATTTAACTCAACACTGCTTTTTCCTTTCCAGATCCCTTGCCTTTTTTAAATTGCTGGTAAAAATGCATGGAACACTAGATAAAATGTAAAGCAATATACACAAACAAGCCCAACCAAATAACAAGTAGGCCCTGGGTGTTGTAAAGATAAAGATGGGCATTAATATTCAAATTAGTTTGTATTCCTCTTGGTGCAGCTGCTGGATTAATTTGCTGCATCATCCTTTTATAAATGTATAGACCTCAACTGCAATAATTATACTAGCAATAAACAATATTAACTTCTCTCCCATCTCACATTGTGAATATCAGCAGTGTCTACTTGATAACAAGATCCAACAAATTCGGCACAAACGTCTACAGCCCATTTTAGGTGCAAAAGGATAAATGCACTTCCAAATGTGAAGGGTTAGGTTCCCCATACTTCCAGTCCATCAGCCAAACGCAAAGCAATCAGATTTCCATTATACCCAGGTACCATTACTCTCCTCCCTACTTTCCACTTTCCTCCTCCCCAGCTTGTTCTGAACAGACACAATATTATGTGCATGAAATAGCCTAGAGTCAAGAGAATCAATCCAGAAATTGTCAAGGGAAGGAAAAGATGATGATTCCCATAAAAGAATCGAGCAAACCCTTTACAACTCCCCCAGCATTCTCTCCCCATCCCTAAAGAGTGGAGAGGTTCAGATAATTGTAGGTATTGAAAACCGAAGAGCCCAAAGCCTGCAGAGCCCATCATGGCTACATTATGTCCCTCAGGGCTGCGAGCGGGGCTCCTGGCTGCAGCCTTCACCTTGCAGAGCTGGAAGTGCTCGGACTGGAGCGTCTCCGGGATGTCGCTCTCCCGGTTCCCGGACTGCTGTTGCTGCGAGGAGGAGGACGCCGAGGAGGAGGACGAGACCGCTGTCAGGCCGTCCAGCACCTTCCTGATGTTAAATTTCCTCATGGTCTCGGCGGCGGCGCTCCCTGGTCTTCTGCCCGCCGCCGCCTCCCCCTTTTCCGGGCGCTCCCTGCCGCCTCAGCCCGCCGCGCACCAGGAGGGAAGCGGAGAGCCCTGCAGCGCAGGCGGCGCTAGGCGAGTGGCGGAGTCCAAGCGGTTCCCCTCATTCACGGGAGCAGGGAACCAAAAGCAGGGCGGCGGGCGGACCCGGGCAGGCGGCGAGCCCCTGAGCCGGCAGGGGAGGAGAGATCCTAATGCAGGGGGAAGCCTAGGGCGCGGGGTGGACACAGCCTGGGAGACGGGGCACCCCAAGTGACCCCTAGGAGGTAAATCTGCTCCCCACGCCGCCTCCTCTCGAGGCCTCCGACGACACTCCTCCCCCCCCCCCCCGACCCGGTCCCCCTTCCTGCAACCGCCGAGGCCCCAGACGCGCACACAGCCTTGGCCCCACTGCGGGCCCTTCCCGTTGCCGAGGCCCCCGGCCTCCGCCTGAGGCTGCCTCTCGGTGCAGCGGCGACGTGACAGCGACCCTCTCGCCCACCCCGCCTCACATAGCGGTAGCGGTGGCCGCGCTGCTAGCCCTCCACGTGCCCCGGCCGGCCGCCGCAGTCCCTGCCTTTCACGCTCGCCCTTCCCTCGGCTCAGCAGCCTCCGCGCGTCAATTTCAGTGCGGCGCGTGCCTTAGCAGAGCGCCTCTCGCTGCTGCTGCTGCCGCCGCCGCCGCTGGCTGCCGGCCCGCCCCCCGACCACCATCCCCCTGCTCCAGCCGCCGCCGCCGCCCCCTGTCTAGCCCTCTCGCCCCACAACGCGGAAGCGCAGCGCCCTGAGGAGCAGCTGCTGCCACTGCCGCTGGCTGCCGCCGCTGCCTCCTCACCCACCCAGCGGCGGCTCTGTAGAGCATGCGCGCAAAGGGCGCCAGCACCCGGATGTCGGAGTCCCTGTCCCTGCTCCTGCTCCTGCTCCTGCTCCGGAGGGAAGCTTGACGGGCCGGGGAGGCCACCCCAGGAAGGGGTGCACGGTGGGATGGCGAAAGGCACTCTGTGAGCAGAGGCAGAGCCTCCCCCAGAGGTCGTGGGTGCCTGCTTTGAGTCCTCTGTGCAAACCACAACAACCTTCTGCCACTCTGATGTGGCACCGGGGATCAGATGGCAGGTGTCGAGAGGCTGTGGTTCCTTCTCTCTGCGTCTGTGTGGTATCAGAGGAACAGCCGTGTTAGTCTGTATTCGCAAAAAGAAAAGGAGTACTTGTGGCACCTTAGAGACTAACCAATTTATTTGAGCATGAGAAGCTCATGCTCAAATAAATTGGTTAGTCTCTAAGGTGCCACAAGTACTCCTTTTCTTTGTGTGGTATCAGTAATTCAGCCATACCCACAGGTACCGGGGTAAGGCACCCATGCTTTAACCATACCCAGTTATGGTCATGGGTGGATACCAGCTGTGGTGAAGCTGCTCACCATCTCTTCATCATTAACCCATCCACCTGGGGAGGTGGACTAGACCCCCTGATGCTACAGATCTAAAAACACTGACCACCGCTACTTGGTCTCAAGAAGGAATTACGGTAACAGTGAACTTCCTTGTGTTCTTAGGAAGCGGCAATCAGCCAATAGCAACATGATCAGAGATCAGTGGCAAAATTTTACTGTTCAAATCACTGAGAACAGGATTGGTCCCAGAACTATTTACAGAATATAGTACTAGTTAATATTTTTGCCTAATTACATATATTTTCATAACACTGCAGATGCTTCATTGGTTTCAAGGAAATGTAATGTAATCTAGAGCATAATGGAAGCTAGTTACAACCTTAACTATGGAGGAGCTACTGTTTCTCTAGAACAACTAAAGCAACTTAAATTACCATAATAAAGAAAGTATTGATAAGGGCTGTCTATCTTCAGTCTACAAAGCATAAACTGATTGATAAGGTTAGGAAGACATTTCCTTTCATGGGTGCTATTACACAACTGAACAATTTAGATGGGTGGAGCAGAGTTACACCTTTCTGTAAAATATCAGACACTGGCTATTGTTGAATACAGAATATCAAGATAGACTCCATTTCTCTGCTGCAGTATGACAGTTCTTATCTCTCTCACTAGTGGGTCAAATACCCAACAATGAAGGGTAATGTCATTATCCTTGCCTCAAACATTAATTCCTTTATTTTTAAAAAAGTTTAAGAAAATCTTCTGAAATGCAAATCATCCCCTCTTCAGTTGGTGAATAAAGAGGGAGAATCTATTATAATCATGACTTATGAGGAAAATAATTCCAGGTTATAATTGCATGCAATCCTGGTATTGTTAGCCAGTGGCATTACCTATCTGTAACAAGAATACTTTAAGAATAGCATTAGACCAACACACAGCATTTACATAATATCTCTACATTATACATAGAATAGAGGTTTATTGGGGAAAGGCACAATACATTTAAATGCACAGATTATATATATATATAAGGATTCCTCTTAGTCAATCTGAATGTGGCATAGCAGTGGTGGTGCAGGTGTTGTATGACTTGGAAAGATTATCTCATGGATTCTCCATGGCATCTCTGAGGTAACAGAAATGAAACTTCTATTCATTTTTCCCCTGGGATTATTAACTCAGTAAGTCAATTTGGAGCTGTATGCCAAGCAGGTCTATGTTGCATGAGTAGTTGGGAAAAGCTAAGATAGTTCACATAGTTTTAGAAAATGTTTGACAGTCAACTGAAACAGTCGCTTTCTTACATTACCTGTGAGAAGAGACGGGTGAACATTGGAGTTCCTCAAATCATCCTCAAAGAAGTGCTCTGAGTTGACCCAAAAGATGGCATGAGTCTGTTGGAAATATTTAATAAAAATAGGCTTAGATAAGGGTGAGGGTACATTTTTTATAAAAAAAATAATGTTTTGTTGTTGTTTTGTTCCTGTTTATAAAACAAATTGTGTTCCTTTTCTAAAATATGTAGGTAGTTCCAACTCCTGTTTTGTTATCCATTGCTCTTATACATTGTTAGTCCATATTTTTTGAGTTTTAGTTTGATTTCCTCCATCTTCTGACAATTGTTTATACTATAAACAATAAACTGGGAAAATAATGCAACTTGATTGCTCTTCTTGTATGGTTATGTGTATAGGGCTCAATATTGCAAAGACTTAGGCTTATAAGTAATTTTACTTTAGGGAATGTTCACATTGCCAGCCCTAAGCCTGCAAATACTTAACCATGACCTTAACTTTACTACCGTGAGCAGTTCCTTTGAAGTTAATAGGACTATTCACGTGTTATGCTCTGATGCACCCCAAAATAGCAATCTAAAAACACAAAAAAAATGAAGCAGGACACACAGGTGGGTTGTCAATCAAAACCTGTAATAATCATGAACTGGTGAAGTCAGCAACAATCTGAACAAAACATGATCACAGTCCAAACAGCAGGTAGGTAGCAACAAAACAGGAATGGGAACAAGAAGTAGGAAACAGAAAGGCAACACACACACCAGTCATCACATCACAGTAGTAAAGTTAAGTATGTGCTTAAGTGTTTGATGATTTGAGGCCTGTACAACCATTTTTTTCCTACTATAGTCACCATCATTTCCTGACCCTCTCTACTGTGTGCCCTCCAGTTAAGTACTAGTGTCTTTAAGTATATGGTAAAGTCTTTGGAGCAGAGACTGTTTTGCTGTATTTTTAATACAATACCCAGCACAGGAGGACCCTGATTCTGACTGGTGTCTCTCAGAGCTACTGTAATACAAATAATAAATTATAATAATATATGCCGTTGCTGCTATTTTGTGTAGTACTGCAGTTTTCCCCCTCTGCCTCTCCGACTGATGCCATTCACCAACTTGACCCTTCCTGCTACTTTAACATCTGCTCCCATTGAAGTCAATGGCAAAACTCCCATTGACTTCTATGGGAGCAAGAGTAGGTTTTTCATTTTATAGTGCAGCAAACATCCTCCTTATCTCTTCTCTCAGGCTTTAGTTGCAGTATTTCAAAGCTTCCTCCTCCCTTCTCCTCTTACCCAATAACCACATCCTCTCTTTGCAAACTAAACTGACTCTGCCCAACCTCCTCCTTGTGCCCGACTCAGACCTTTCTGGCCTGATGTCTTAACTCTCTTTCCAATGTTTGACACTCCAGTCCCAGTCAGGGACATCATTTGCTATGGGGTAAGGGGGCAGTTGCCTCACTCCTTGACTTTGGTTTGTCCCCTCTCCAGATTTTTCATAGCTCTATATGCTCCATTGTGTCTTCCACTCCTCTTCACCCAATTCTGCAGGATATAATGTAATCACATATAATGTTCCATATGCTGACACACCTTTGACCACCCCACTCCACTCTGAATTATTCTGAAATGATGCTCCTGGTCCCTGGCCCAAATCTTTTACACGGCTGGGGAAGGGGCAACCAGACCAGATTTCCTGGAAGATCCTTGGGTTCTCCCCAACTGTCACAGAATCTTGTGGCTTTGTTGCTACGGCACCCTCTGTAGAAGTGAGCAGAATTTCACTCAGCCTAACTCTGCATTTTAATGGGCCTTATAAATTCCCCATCTGTTATTATGCCACGTAGGGCCCCTTAGCTTTATTGTCTTCAGATAAAGACTCACTCATCTGCTGCCCTTGGAAAGGGAAGAAGGAGCTCTCATGCTCAATGCTGAATGCTCCACTCTTCAGAAACTTTATAAAAACTCAAACTTTTCTTTTATCTCCATAATAAACTGAAGCTTTTATCTCAAATTTTCAGTTCCTGGAAAGGGACTCTCCTTTCGTGGCCTTATTTATATTTAAATCCCCAAACAGACTACTTTTAATTATAACATTCTTTATTATGGAAAAATTCTGCCGTACTGGTATAAATCTGAACTAATGCCATGAGATCACTGGAGCTACTCTGAATTTACATTAGTATAATAGAGCAGACCTTCACTCTACATTAGCACATAGAATCATAGAATAGAATCATAGAATATCAGGGTTGGAAGGGACCTCAGGAGGTCATCTAGTCCAACCCCCTGCTCAGAGCAGGACCAATCCCCAATTAAATCATCCCAGCCAGGGCTTTGTCAAGCCTGAACTTAAAAACTTCTAAGGAAGGAGATTCTACCACCTCCCTAGGTAATGCATTCCAGTGTTTCACCACCCTCCTAGTGAAAAAGTTTTTCCTAATATCCAACCTAAACCTCCCCCACTGCAACTTGAGACCATTACTCCTTGTCCTGTCCTCTTCTACCACTGAGAATAGTCTAGAACCATCCTCTCTGGAACCACCTCTCAGGTAGTTGAAAGGAGCTATCAAATCCCCCCTCATTCTTCTCTTCTGCAGACTAAACAATCCCAGTTCCCTCAGCCTCTCCTCATAAGTCATGTGTTCCAGACCCCTAATCATTTTTGTTGCCCTTCGCTGGACTCTCTCCAATTTATCCACATCCTTCCTGTAGTGTGGGGCCCAAAACTGGACACAGTACTCCAGATGAGGCCTCACCAATGTCGAATAGAGGGGGACGATCACGTCCCTTGATCTGCTCGCTATGCCCCTACTTATACATCCCAAAATGCCATTGGCCTTCTTGGCAACAAGGGCACACTGCTGACTCATATCCAGCTTCTCGTCCACTGTCACCCCTAGGTCCTTTTTCGCAGAACTGCTGCCTAGCCATTCGGTCCCTAGTCTGTAGCTGTGCATTGGGTTCTTCCGTCCTAAGTGCAGGACTCTGCACTTGTCCTTGTTGAACCTCATCAGATTTCTT